AGCTACTCATAGTAAAGGTAGAAATCAAAGATGGAGATGAAATATAAGCCATAAAAGTTAATTATAAGAAGAAAATCTAAGATTAATAACTAAAGTTGCTCTAAAATTACTCTAAGTAGTAAAATACAGTTGTTCACGAGCTCTTCAGTACAAAAGATAACCTAAAAATCTGAAAAATATATATTTATACACAACTCAAATTATTGGACAAAAATACCCCTATGTAGGTTCCGCTGTTAGCGCCGCCTCAGTAGTGAACCTTCCGCGGACGCGCTATTTCATCGCTGTCAGCGCTTTTAGCTTGTGTAGGTTTAACTCCTTTATGAGCTAGTTATGATTTTCTTGCTTCATTTTGACCAAACCCTGCAAACAATCACAATAAGTTAGTTTTCGGGAATACTTTTACACATTTTTGATCCAAAACCTAAGTAAAAGAGAGTATAAGATAGGCTAGAATCCGTAGTTATCATACAACATGATCATGCCTAGCTCTAGTCCTAATATAGATAAGCGGTCACTGCAAATATAATCCGGTTTAAAAGTCCGGATTTGAATCCCACAGAGAACTAAGTTTTTGTTAAGAAAAAAAGAGTGACGTAAGCATGAAGGGTAGTTTAGTCTATTTATACATGGCTGGATTAGTTAAGTTTGTTAGATAGGTTTTTAGAAGTTAATCATGTAGGAGAGTGGTTAGTTAGAAGTTAACTCATTTATATATACAACCTACTGTACAGCTCATCGTAGCAGAATGAAAAGATTACTGTTTCATTCATTTTCTTTTTCTCTTCTCCTCGTCTCTTTTTTCCCTTTCAACTAGGGTTTTTTAATGCATTCAATCCATAAACTTTAGCATGGTATCAGAGCTTTGAGCTCCAAATCGAAGCTCAAAATAGATCCAAATCCCCTTCTCTGCTCCACGATCAACTGTTATTTTCTATTTTTTTAGTCAATTTTGATCTCAATTTCTCAGATCTAAAGATTTGAATAACTCAACAATGGCGGTTGATGATGAAAACACAACTATCACTTCTAAGAATACATTGCATGTTTCATCGGATGATGAATTCGAGGAAGGTGTTACAGTAGTTGTGACTCATCCCCTGTATCTTGCCCCTGGTGATACTAGCGGCATTTCCTTGATTTCATTTCAGTTAACTGGAACTGATAACTACTCCTTATGGTATCGATCTATGCGGATTGCTTTACTAGGTCACAATAAGCGGGGAATTGTAGATGGCAGTTGGCCAAATGAGAGGTTTCACGACAAGTATTGGTATTAGTGGGAAAGGTGTAATGCTATTATACTGTCGTGGTTGATGAACTCAGTTGCTTCTTCACTAATTAGTGGTATAGCCTATGTCACTAGCGCACAGACAGTATGGCTGGATCTGCAGAAGAGATTTGATAAGGTAAATGATACTCGCTACTACAATTTACACAAAGAAACAACCGCTTTGTGTCAAGGTACCTCCTCTATTTCTGTCTACTACTCAAAAATTAAAGATATTTGGGATGAATTTGAGTTTGTAATACCTACACCTGGGTGTGATTGTGCCAAAACAAAGGAGTTTATTGTGCATCTACGAAAACAAAAGGTATATCAGTTTTTAATGTGCTTAAATGACTCCTATTCACAAGCTCGTAGTCAAATCCATCAAGCTTATGCTATGCTTATAAGTGATAAGAGTCAACGGTCTGTAGCTGCATCAGCTGGTGTATTAGGTCCTCCTCTTATTGTGAATGCAAATACCTATGACTCAACAACACTCTATAGTGCTAAGTCTAACTCTAACCCAAAGTTTAGAAAGAACTATAATGTTCAATGTAATTTCTGCAAAATGAAAGGTCATAGTAAGGAAAATTGTTATAAAATCATAGGCTATCCCTCTGATTATAAGTTCAAGAAGAAAGGGGTAGCTAGTGCACATAATGTAATGGTAGAACCTGGTTACTCTATGCCTCTATATGCTGAAAGTGCCTCTCAGTGTGTACCATTGCAGTCACTGCCTGCAAACTATAGTCATCATCATGCTATGAGTCAGGGTGCTGAAAACTATCAGGTACAAGGGAGCCCTAGTGCTTAGGCTCAGGCTGGCCCTGCTGCTTCACAGGTTCAAGGTGTTGTAAATGCCAAGCCATCATCTCAAGGAGATGGTTTTCCATTCACCAAAGAACAGTATGAGAAAATCATGCAGATCTTGTATAGCAGTCACAATCGCATTTCATCCTCTACTTCTCAGGCATATGCATCAGGTACTACCATTGCTCTTTTGGCTTCATCACCTAGTCCACAAGAATGGATCATTGACACAAGAGCCACAAACTATATGGTTTCAGATATTAATCTGTTAACCAAAACCTCCCTAACTACTCTCACTAATCCCAGAAAAGTTCTACAACCTAATGGAGATGTCACTCAAGTCACACACATTGGAGATAGTCATATTTCAGACAACAATGTCATTAAAGAAGTTTTCTATGTGCCTCAGTTCAAATTCAACTTTTTGTCAGTTTCCAAAGTGACAAGAGACTCAATATGTTTTGCTTCCTTTTATCCCGATTTCTGTGTATTTCAGGATCTCTTCAGTGGCAGGGTGAGGGAGATTGGTAGGGAGAGAGATGACCTGTATTTACTGTAGAGGCATGACTCTAAGAAGCTCACTACAATCTCATCGACTGCAGCTAGAATAAAGTCACACAGGAGGAACTCTACTATTGATGTTAGTTTGTGGCACAAAAGATTAAGACATGTATCTAGCATAGTTCTTAAGAAGTTGTTTCCTGCCAAACTAGCAAATATTACTGAAATCATAAATAAATTCACTGTATGTCCATGTGCTAAGCAAACCAGACTGCCATTTCCTAATAGCTGTATTAAAAGTACTGTTGCTTTTGATCTAATTCATGTTAATGTTTGGGGTCCCTACAAATATGCAACATTTGATGGTCATAGATATTTTCTAACGGTGGTTGATGACTTCACCAGATTGACTTGGTTGTTTCTCTTGAAACTAAAGTCTGATGTTTGTGTAGTTCTTACTCAGTTTGTTGTTTTTGTTCAAACTCAATTCAACAAAGTTCTAAAGGCAGTTAGGTCTGAAAATGGACCTGAGTTTATCAATTTTGTCTGTCATGCCCTATTTCAAAAATATGGTAGTATTCACCAAAAGACTTGTGCATATACCCCTTAGATAAATAGAGTTGCTGAGAGGAAACACATGCATATTCTGGAGGTAACTAGGGACTTGAGATTTCAAGCATATATTCCTATTAAATATTGGGGTCACTGCATTATTGCAATTGTCTATATTATCAATAGAATGCCAACTTTTGTACTTAATGGTTTATATCCCTTTGAGCTACTATATGGACAAGAACATACATTGGAACATCTGAGAGTTCTTGGTTGCTTATGTTATGCCAAACAAGTTCAAGAGATAGATAAGCCCCTTCCCAGGGCCAAACCTACTATTCTTATGGGTTTTTCTGATACTCAAAAGGGTTATATGTTATTGGATCTTACTACTAACTGTTTCTTCATCAATAGGGATGTCTCCTTCAGGGAGGATATTTTTCCCTTTAAGGAGTCTCATTCATCTCCATCTGTGTTCTTGTCCTCTGATCCTTCTACTTATGGTGCAAACTATATATCTACTTCACATGAGCCTCACAATGTAGGACAAGCTTCTTCTCCTTCTACATATACTAATCTAAGCCCTGCAGGTGATGACTCAAGCTAGGAGGCACCAGAGCAGTTATCTAGTACCACTGAAGGAGTGTCAACCTTACTACCTTCTGTTGATCAACACATTACTGGCCTGAGAAGATCTTTGAGGACCAAGCAGGCATCCTATATGGTTGAAGGATTTTGTGACAGGTCCCAATCACAAATATGTTCCTTACTCTATTGCTAACTACATCTCCTATGATGGTATGTCTCCCAAGTATCAATGCTATCTAGCTGCTTTTTCTTCAATTGTAGAACCTACTACATTTTAAGAAACAGTCAAAGATCCCAGGTGGGTTGATGCAGTGCAAGCTGAGATTACTGCTTTAGAATCCAATCATACTTGGGATGTGGTACCTTTGCCTGATGACAAAGTACCAATTGGCTGTAAATGGATGTATAAAGTGAAGTACAAAGCTACAAGGGAGGTGGAGAGGTTCAAAACTAGACTTGTGGCCAAGGGTTATAGCCAACAAGAGGACATTGACTACCAGGAAACTTTCAGTCCTGTAGTCAAAATGGTTACTGTTAGGACAATTCTAGTTGTCGCTGCTTTTGAACATTGGCATATCCATCAAATAGATATGTACAATGCTTTTTTGCAGGGAGACCTACATGATGAGATCTATATGACTCTGCCACAAGGATTTCAGAGTCAGAGAGAGAGAGAGAGAGCAGAACAATATGTAAACTTTTGAAATCCTTATATGGACTTAAACAAGCATCAAGACAGTGGAATGCCAAACTTTCTGAAGCACTACTAAAGTTTGGGTTCATGCAAAACCAGCATGACCACTCATTGTTCATAAAAGGAATAGGCAAACACACTATATTTATCTTGGTGTATATAGATGACATGCTCCTAACTGGACCTGATCTAATGCTATTAGAAGAAGTCAAGGCCAAACTGCAGCAAGCCTTTAAAATGAAATACCTAGGTGAACTGAAATACTTTCTTGGCATTGAGTTTTCTAGGTCACAATAAGGCATTCTAATGCACCAAAGGAAGTATACCCTGGAACTAATCTCTAAGCTTGGACTGGGAGCTGCAAAACCAGTTGTTACACCTATTGAAGCCAATACTAAACTAACCACTAAGGATTATGATGAACATATAGGTATGCACAACACAATAGTTGATTAGTTGTTACCTGATCCTAGCAAGTATGAAAGACTACTAGAAAAATTACTTTATCTGACTGTCACAAGACCAGACATAGCCTTTAGTGTACAAACACTAAGTCAGTTCATGCAAAAATCCAAAAGATCTCATATGGATACTGCACAAAGAGTAGTCAAATATGTGAAGAATCAGCCTGGACAAGACATACTATTGTCTACTGAGAAGAAGAACATAGTCACAACCTATTGTGATGCTGACTGGGCAGCCTGTCCTCTTACTAAAAAATCTGTAACTGGATTCTTCATTATGTATGGTGACTCACTAGTGTCCTGGAAGTCTAAGAAGCAGAGCACTATCTCTAGGAGTTCTGCAGAATCAGAATACAGAAGCATTGCATCGACTGTGGTAGAAGTAGTTTGGATACTTGGATTGTTTAAAGATATTAGAGTGCCAGTTACTCTTCTTGTGATCATTCATACTGATAGCAAGGCAGCAATTTAGATAGCTACAAATCCAGTATTCCATGAACGTACCAAACACATTGAGATCGACTGTCACTTTATAAGGGAAAAGATATAAAAGAGGCTGGTGAAGACAGAGTATGTTGCCACAAAAGAACAACTTGCAGATGTTTTAACAAAGGCTTAACTAGAGTGCAACATGAGTACTTGATGTCCAAGCTAGGTGTTCTTAATGTTTTTATATCACCTAGCTTGAGGGGGAGTGTTGAGGAAAGAGTAGTGACTTAAGCATGAAGGGTAGTTTAGTCTATTTATACATGGCTGGACTAGTTAAGTTTGTTATATAGGTTATTAGAAGTTAATCATGTAGGAGAATGGTTAGTTAGAAGTTAACTTATTTGTATATATAGCCTACTGTACAACTCATCAGAGCAAAATGATAATGTTATTGTTTCATTCATTTTCTTCTTCTATTCTCCTCGTCTCTCTTTTCCCTTTCAACTAGGGTTTCTTACTGCATTCAATCCATAAACTTTAGTAGGTTTAGCTATAATTGTTGGCTATCACTAAGAAGACAAGCTCGAACAATTCTTCAGTTATAAATATTAAGATTCTTATATCTAATTAACTAATAAATTAAAGTAGTTGATTAACAACTAAAGATACTACGGGTTGGAGAAAAGATTAAGAAGGTCTAGAGTTATGATTTTTCCAATTGTCGGAATCCTTCCCGCTACGTCTTCTATAATTTTGTCTAAGTATTCTCTACCGATCGTGAGTGCTTCGGGTGGCGTAATTCTCTCTCGAGTAACTACCACAATTTACTAGACATATTCTCTCGAACTATGCTAGTTGGCACTAATTCACCGCTCACTACGATCACACCAAGATCTTTAAACCCGCCTTTAAACCCTCCGTATTGATCTTTCACATACATTAGGAGTGATGTTGTTCAACAACTACCTAAATGTGTAATCATCTCTCAAGAACTACACACTAAATAGGCACAGTCAATTGATGGCCATTCAATCAACAGTAGCAAACACGTGGTTGAACAAGTAGAGAAATCTAACGGTTCAATTATATAAAAACATAACGAGAATTTATCTTACAAAAGGTTCCATCAAAACCCTAGATAAAAAATTAGCTATTCTTAATAGTATGCAAAACTACAATACTAGAATTCATAACCAATAATGAAAATAGGAAGAAGGAAGGGATAAACGTGTAGAAGAATCTTCCTCCTTGTCCTAGCGTGTTCGTGCCTCCTTGGGTCGAATACCCTTTCTGATGATGTCTCCTCTAATGATGTCTAACCTAATGATGTCTCCTGATGTCTCACCCTTCAAAAACTAACTTTAAGGGATATTTATGGGATAGGGGCCGAATTTATATGTCCAATACTAATGAGGAATTAAACTTTTTTCTGGATGACATTGATGGCGCCTGGCACTGCCTGTAGCTTTTCGATGCAAGGCACTATCTATGGCACTGATGACAGTGCCCTGGACAATGACATGTACTGTGTATGGCACTGTTGTTACTGTGCAAGGCTCTGTCTATGGCACTGAATTTTTGTTGCCTTGCACATCTTCTTTTATTGCTCCATTTTGTAGCTCTGAGGTACCATTTCATGCAACTTTTCTCCAATTCATGTCCAAGCATTACTACACATCAAATAAAGCGCAACCATCGCACAAATTATCATCCAAACAACAAGCAAGTAGCGTAAATAATGTCAAAATATATGGAATTATCTCACGACATCACATCACTTAGTGCCAATTTTGTATTTTTGCTTCGATTATCATATTTGATTTGCTTGTTATTGCCCCTTCCATTTATCTTTCTTGAGTCGAGGATCTTCAGGAAATAACCTCTCTGTCTTCTTATAGGTAGGGGTAAGGTCTGCATACACTCTACCCTACTCAGACCCTACTTATGAAATTATACTGAGTATGTTGTTGTTGTTCAGCGCTATACATATTTTTTACACCACTAGATTACCCAATAGGCAACTCCCGAAGCACTCATACCCAATCCCTAGTTGTACAGGTACAGCCCAGAAGCTTCCTCTTTTATATTGATAAAAGCGCTAGGCACCTCTTAACAGTTCAAAGTGCCTCTTGGCTTACCCAGCTTATATGATAACCTCAAAAAATACAGTAATAACCTGTTATAGACAGTTAAATTCCACAAAACAATGCAAAAATTATTTACTCTATTAATTTGTATAAATAAAAATCTACAAAACATATATGATACTTAATTGAAGAACAAAGTGTAAGTACTTAGGGAAGAGTTAGTTAAAGAAGTGGTAAAAAGATATTAATAGCTTTTAACCACGGCCAAAAATTTTCCCCTAATAACTACTCCAATGACTCGGTCACATTCACAATACAATCCACAACTTAAAAAACTTAATCCGATAATTATTCCGAATCTCCTCAACTTGTCATATTAATTAAACTCCGCGACTCGCTAATCAATTAACAATTAGAATCATGATTAATTTGTTTAAAGTAAAGGAAAAGCAGAAAGAAGCAGCTGAAAATGCAGAAGGAAAACCACCAATTAAGGAGCAAACTGCATCACAATTAAGGCTTCATAGAGATATTAGTGAATTAACTTTACCACCAATTTGTACCATTGAATTTCCAAATGGAAAAGATGATCTTATGCATTTTGAAGTCACAATTAAACCAGATGAAGGTTATTATAACGAGGGTACATTTCCTTTTACTTTTGAAATTCCAATACTTTATCCACATGATGCACCAAAAGTTAAGTGTAAAGTTAAAGTTTATCATCCAAATATTGATTTAGAAGGAAATGTTTGTCTTAATATTCTTAGAGAAGATTGGAAACCTGTGTTGAATATTAATGCAGTAATTTATGGTTTAATTCATTTGTTTACTGAACCAAATCATGAGGATCCACTCAATCATGAAGCAGCTGAGGAATTAAGAGACAAACCATGGTCTTTTGGGCAAACTGTTGGTAGAACAATGTGGGGAGGACACGTGCATGACGTATATTTCGATCGCGTTCTGTAATTTTTCGAGGCGGATTCAGGATTTTAAAGTTCATGAGTTCGTATAACGACGTCCGTAAGTTAATATTTCATGGGGTAAATGCATGATACTACTGGAAGGATTCTTTTTTTTTTTTGGCTATTAGGTACTGTAATTGGTATTCTTGTAATCAGTTTGATACGTTATTTGATTGTTCATCGCGTTCTGTAATTTTTCGAGACGGATTTAAAATTTTGAAACTAATGAGTTCCTACAACAAAGTCCTCAAGTTAATATTACATGAGGTAAATGGCGATACTAGTGAAAGGATTCATTTTTGGATAATGGTATAAGTAATTTAGGAAATTATTGAACTGTTATTCTTGTAATCAGTTTAATAGGTATTTTCTTTTATGGTTCATATTTTGGATTGAGTCCATCCTTGTAGTAGTCAGTAATTGGCGATTCACAGTAAAATATTTATAAATATTTAGTAGATTTTTTAATATATACAACATCAAGACAAAAGTTACTAGGTTTACGTGAATCCGATTTTTTTTTTATAATTAATGTTGCTGATGTTGAATAGATAAGGGAAGAATTCAAGATTGTATGATTAATATTTTGTTTTGATTAATTTTGTTGTCTCCTGTGTATTTTGTTTAGTGAGATACGTTTGGTTGATGTCCTGCCTCTTCATTGTTTTTGTTTCCATGTTTTATGTACTAATAAAAACCGATCACTGGTTTTTATTTTTAGTATTTTGCAATCGCTTTGTGCAAATATTTTTAAAGATATTTTGGGGAAGAACAAAAACAAAAGTTTAATTTTCATTCCCCAAATTATTAAGAAAAAATTATCTTTTTTTATTATTATTCGTTTACGATGTATGAAATTTATAATAATATCAGAGACCTCTCTTCATATTTTGCGCTTTGTCCCACCTATAATCATGGGCGAAGCCACCTTTAGCAAAGGGTGGTCAGTTGACCACCTTTCGCGAAAAATTACGAAAAATTACACTGTGTATATAAATAAAATATTGATTTTAGATATATAAAATCTATATTGAACACCCTTTATCGAAATCTTTTTTTCAACTACTTTCAACTTTGAACACCCTTGAAAACATTTCTGGCTTCGCCACTGCCTATAATATCATTACCTCAAGGAATATTGGCATTATGAAGCAAAACCAAGAAGGGAGGGAGTTCAGAACCAAAATAACACACAATAAAAAAAGAAGCAAAGCGACAAAAGTAGTGTGCGAGAAAGGAACATATTTAGGAAATTATTTATCTATATAAAAGAAGAAAAAAGAAATTTGAAGTGAAAAATGATATGAGATCAAATTAAAACTCCCGTTATTACTGTCCAAAGTATTATTATTTTGAATGTCAAATAAAAATCTCCAGGTGCTATTTGCTTTTAGTTCAAGCACTTAATGAGGGAAGTCTATAAAAGAAAAAATAGAACTGGCAATTCTTCAGAAAAAATTTGTATCTGTATTTTCATTTTAGTTTAGCTAGCTTTTTGTAATAAGCCGAGATATATTTATATACTAATTAAATATGAGATTTAGGAATTAATTTTATTGTAGCTATTGAGTCAAATATTAAATTTGTGGATGAAAATTTATTATACTATATAAGATATGGTACTAAATAAATGGTTAGTGGCTAACTTGTTTTAACTATACTTATACAGATGTCATAATAGGACTGTGAGTCATGACGTTGATTTTGATAGTTTGATACGGCTGAGAGCTATGGTGTTGAGTTTGATACGGCTATGCGCCATGATGATGTTGAGTTTGATAGTTTGATACGGTTGTGAGCCATTGTGTTGATTTTGATACGGCTGTACGCCATAATCTTGAGTTTGATAGTTGATACGGCTGTGAGCTATTGTGTAGAGTTTGATACAGTTGTGCGCCACGATATTGAGTTTGATAGTGTGATACGATTGTGAGCCATGGTGTTGAGTTTGATACGGTTGTGCGCCATGATGTTGGGGCATTGTGTAT